AAACTTCGAGTTTGGCATTTTTAGCTGTCGCCATCTTGTTTTTTTGGAGCCAGAATTGACCACAGTGACCGTTTATATCAATTTAGCCACAGCTAAAATAGGCAGGAAGGTGTGAGAGAGGGTGGAGCAGCAGTTAGGAGTATGGCATTAACTATGGATAAAAATCCTACAAAGCATCCAAGAAAAAAATGAAAAAGACACTGCTCAGAGGAATGACTGAAATAAAAATATGTGTATGGGACTCCTTGAAGAGAGTGCTCCTAAGGGTAGGGAAGATGCAATATCACCTGCAGGCAATCAGTACGTCATCAGCAGTGTTTGTGCTAGGGGCAACCTCCACAGCTTAAAAATGAAGGAACTTCCAAAAACTGCACTTCTTTGAATGGCCACTTGAGGCTGGCCCCAGAAACCAGTTAACCCCCATAGACACCTATGTTAAAATGTCCAACTATGCAGCAGAGATAAACACGTTTACAGCCTGGTACAAAAATGGTTTTGGTCTCTATAGATAATTTCAACATTAATGACAGCTGTACTTTACATTTCATTACAGCTTATAGATACGCACATTTAAGGGCAGGCTGCTTTGAGTGACAGGCTGTTTGACGATAGAGTCCTCGGCTTCTTTGTCTGATTCACCTCTCACTTCTCCACAGAGCCAAATACGGTCTCTTCTGCCTCCAAAAAACCAAGATGGCGATGGGTGACATCACAGTTGCTACATCCATTATTTTAAGTCTATGTGTTTGTGTAATTACTCTCACTGCCAGAGGTAGGGGACAAAAGTTCCACACTCCTGGTTCAAGTAAAGGATCTGAATACTTGGTAGCTTGCATGAGTTTATGCATGTCTATGTGTGAATGGACCTAGTGAATACTAATACTTAATACTTACTAATACTTAATTTCTACCTCTTTCTAAATAGCCACTGCTGTTTGGATACACTACGTACAATTTAACTTTTCAAGCATTTAAGTTTCTAGAGATCTTCTCCAAACTTTCATCAAACCTTTGTGACTGAAAATTAAAGTCAGACACACAATCCCATTTAAAATCTGATTGCAAACTTCCAAATACACAATACAGACATATTTCAGCTGCATCTGACTGCTCATCTGCCTCTAAGTGCCTGCTTGTGTGTGTATGTTTGCATGTATGCACGTTACATATGTCTCTGTGACATATATATGACATATACGTGAGTTTGTCTTGCAGAGAAGAATGAATGCTTATTGATCTCTGACTACAGCATGAAGCGGTCTTTAATGTCGGCTCCTCTGCCGACCTAACAGACTGCAGAGGTCTTGTGTCTCTTGTTTATGACCGACCTTCATCATCCCTGTCTCCCTCTATCATACCTTCTCTCTTTTTCTCTCCCATCCTGCTGATAAACCTCCTGCCTCACCCATCCAGTTTCATCTCCTCCGTCACGCTTCATGATCAACCTGGAGACCATAACACCAACTCACTTTTCCCCCCTCAGTGTTCTACATGTGAAGAATGGGCCTGGTGGTGCAGTTATCTGTGAGGAAGTGGTGCATCGCTAACTGGACTTAAACACACACATGCATGTTCCCATTATATAAAAAGCATCATTCATGTTAGAGTCTGATTCCACGGTCAACAGTGTGCGGCCAGACAGATAGAGGTATAAACTGAGTGTGCTGCTAACGTCCACAAGATTCTTTAAACCAACAGTCAACAAAGTTGGTGTCGCTATTGAACAATTAATAATTTTTTTCTGCCAATTTAAATAATGGTCACGGTCATTCTGTACCTCTAAGATGAGAAGTTTACAGCAGCTTCATACTTCCTATTTCTCTGTACGAATTTTAAAAATGGTTGCTGCCCCAGTTGGACTGACAGTAGCCTAAGTTTTCAAGTAATTTCACTTCCTTTTGGTTTCACATTTACATGTAACTGACAGCTCATTATACAGTAAAATATAACAGTTTGGGGTACCCATGTCCTGCAGAGAAAAAGTAGGATCATGTCCTTGACACTACTCTAGTATCTCCTCAGGGATCAAGATAATGGCTTTAATTTGAGACACTCCCACTGACAACCAATAGGTTAGTGTGCATATTTAAAATCTTTTTTGAGGACAGAGATGTGAGTTAGCAGCATTCTTGCTTTCAAATCAAAATTCTTTGAAAATCTTTCTTACAAACCTACACCATCCTTAAGAAGTTCCTTGCTGCCAGATTCATGGGTGTCTACACCCTCTGGACCAACAGTGGGAGTTAGCAGCAACAGTGACATTAAAAAATCTGGGAGACAAACTGAAATAACACAAACAAAAACAAAAATGTGAGAGGAGTTCAAATAGCAAAAGGAAAATGATTCCAGATAGCAAATGGCAGTAAATATACTCTCTAAAGTTGTGAATGACTTAATTAGCCTCTAGGAAATTCCTGAAAAGTATCATAAAACTCCAGTGATGGTTTTAAGAATCATCATTGTTGACTTGTAACTAAGGGAAAAGAGAACAGAGTATAAACATACACTGTATGAATAATGGACGTAGCTTAAGTGATGTCACCCATTGGATTGTGGACCCACATTCTGAAGCCTCGAGTTCAGCATTTTGGCCATCACGAGCTTGGTTTTTTACAGCCAGAGGTGAGCCAGAAGTAAGTTCTAACTGAGAAGCCGAGGACACTGTCAGTCAAAGCAGCCCACCCTAAATTATGCGGAAATTTAGGTCTTAAAGCAATACTATGTAGTATTTTCACCTTAAAATATCAGTTTCAAAGTCTATCTATTGGTGTGCTGGATTATTACAGAGAGAATGGCACCTCTCCCATTCCTACAGAGTGGCCCCGGTGGCCTGCATTTAGACTATGTAACTTTTGGCACCGGGACGCGGCTCTCTCGCGAGAAATACGTTCTGCTTTACGGCACACACAGAGCTTTTGGATAAAGAGAAGCCTGCTAGCCCGACTAGTTAGTGTTTAGAAAGATGGCTGAGGCTAAGAGACGCAAGAGGACGATGTCGGAGGATGCCAGGAATAAAAAAGAGAGAGTGACTGAGCACGGAACAAAACCAGAGTTAATATAGGAAATGGAAAAAGAGGGCTGCAAGTCCGACGCCAAGATGGCTATGTTGCTGATTGAGAGGTGAGTTATATGCTCGTTTTCATGCCTTTTTTAATTTGTCACACATTATTTTTGTTGGCTCTGTTATCGTGTGTAGTCACAGTCACTATATATAGTTACCAAAACATTATTGTTTCAACCATAACCCCATTCAGACATCAAGCAAACATTTTGTTTACATACTAACATGCTCCACATGCAAACATTATGCTACTAACAGGCTAAAAATGCTAGGAAAGTCATATTTGTGCCAAAATCCGGGAATATTACTGTACCTTGTCGGTCGACATTGCTCCTCTTTGTATTTAGAGCTTCGTAAGTCTCAGGTTGCAAACAAATACACGGTGTTTCTGAGTGGTAGGCGACGTCTCAGCTGGCAACAGCGCTCTGTGTGTTTTATGACAGTGGTGTTTTACGACAGTGGTGTTGCGCTTGTACCTGCTCTAGTAGCCTTTAGTGGCCGCTAAAGAGCACGGAACTGGATTTCTACATAATGGGGCTTTAATGAAATTTAAACAGGTGCGTTATATAAAAATTCACCTCCCTGTACAGTTGTCAAGAATGAGAAAACTAGCTGTAGAGACCAAAACTGTTTTTTGTACCAGGGTGTAAACATGTTTATTTCTGCTGTAAAGTTGGGTATTTTAACATGGGGGTCTATGGGGAATGACTGGCTTCTGGAGACAGCCTCAAGTGGCCATTTAAAGAACTGCAGTTTTTGGCATTTTTAAATGTTGGCTTCATTTTTCAGCCCTGGAGATTGTTGTTTGAGGGTAATGCAAAGTACTGGAAATGAAATGAAAAACACCAACTCCACCCATCAGCCCCTTGAATCCTTCCCACACTGCAGAAGCTCTGAGAGGCAAGCAAGAAAAAAAGAAAATGTAGTGGTGATCCATTTTCTAAGTTTGATCTTTATTGGTTTCTCTCCTCTGCATGATAAATCAGTTCAGGGAGGACCTAAATGCAGGTTGAAGCTTACAACAACAGTATGAGCTGTAATTGCTGAAGCCAACTCCAATTCAGTGGCTGGAGGATTATGTCACTGTGTGTGTGTGTGTGTGTGTGTGTGTGTGTGTGTGTGTGTGCGCGTCTGTGACCGATACGATGTTAGCTGGAAAATTATGACGCAGTAGTATCTTTGCTGGAAAACAGCATCTCATGTCGATTTGTGTTCTGGAAAAACAGACCTTAAAATATCCATGGAAAATGCAATTACATCCAAATTGGAAAACTGAGATTATACAGTTTCACCAAGTGCTGCTTTTGTTCAAGAAAATTATCAGTGGCATGTTACCGTCAAGCTTTATCTGATGCTTCTGGCCTCTTTTTAGTTCCACACCATGTTTCAGGAAAGCAGCTGCTATCTGCTAAAGAGGGGAAGCTTCATAACACATAAGATTTTCCAGATTTGTGATTATGCGCATGTGTGTATTCATTCACATGCTGTGTCCCTTTAGCAGTCATACCGCCTCGCTGCCATCTTAAGCTAACAGAAGGCGAAGTTGCAAACCCCGGGGATACGAGACTGTCTAATGAAGCCTTAGTCAGCTGACTAACATTTAGCCCTGGCCCCAGAGAGTTCACATACACAAAAGAACACGCACACTCCAGAAACTTCTGTCCAAAATGCCAAGTGCCCCGAGATTGTGCTTACTTTTGAATCATCTCAGCGTGGCTGAAAATGTGTGAGGTGGGAGAAAGGGCCTGGAGGATGTTTAAGCTTTTGTCATGTGCTTAAGAAGGTGATAGTTGAATAACCTGTTAAGAGAGGAGGAGCTGGAGGAGGGATCAAGAGCGGAGCCTCAAGAAGAGCTGAATATAGAAACTGAGACATGTTAAATGTTGAATTAAATTAAAGACAATGAGCAATTAATGTTCACGTGATGCATCAGGTCTGCTTGTTGCTTTCATTTCCCTTTATTGAGCCAGTAATCAAGACATCACCTTCCATCACAGTCCCTTCCTGTAATCCTCAGTATTTATCATCTAGACAGACAAAACTCAACAACATGACTGGCCAGTGGGAAGAAAAAAAAAGTTTCATTCCATCCACTGAAAAATCAAAGATGAAAGAAATCAATACAGCTGGATTAGTACAGTACACCTTTTCCTTGGCTATCGTTGGTAGCAGTGACAGATGAGTGCGTTATGGTTGTGACAAGTTATAATACCTTTTGGAAATAATTACTGGACACAGATTCAAGTAACGTCTCTGAGCAGACTGCAATGATCAAGCATACAATATGAAGGAAGATGAAGCGAGTGAAGAGCCAGGCTGTTTGGCTAATTTGCCCCAGATCAGTGTGTATAAAATACTGTACAACATTATTGCTGCTGGTTTCCTTGGTGATGGATGCTGACGAGCACTGCTTTGATGGAACCAGCGTACTGTACCTTTAAAAGAAGCAATGTCAGTAACAACAGCCCAATGGTCATTGGTAAGTTTCTTTTAGCACTATTATAACATCCCATCATTTAATACACAGCTGCTTTATTACATCACAACAGCAGCTTGTAATAGATTATTATCATCAGTCACACAGTGAGGTGTATGAGAGGGTAGAAACAGGCTGGGCACCCCCTCACACACCCATTCATTACTATTTGAGCAGTCCAGCACGTTAGCTGTTTCGTGTCCCCTCTCACTCCCATGTTCAACACAAATATCAGAAATTCATACAGTATGTGTGATATTGGCAAAATGACACAGGGAGGTGATCCTCTTCATGTATGTGCACAGAAGGGATTAATCTCCTCCGCTGCAGTGATGTCAACGTGAGGCTCGTATCTGCAAAATGAGTCTGCTTGTGAGTTTCTGTGGCTTTGTTCATCTTTGGGCTCTTTCTGTCTGAGGAACCAAGAAATGAACCAAAAACAAAGAACAGTGTCTTGTTTAGTGCCCCCATAATGCCAGGTTAGGACAGTTAGAGAGGTGGAGTCGTAGAAAAGAGCAAAACAGAAAAGTCCTGAGTTTCTGTTGGCCAGGTAAACCTTTGTGAACAGTTCTAGGGGTCAATACACATTTACTTTAACCCAGTAACTGTAGATAAAGATGGACAACATGTCTCCACTTCCTCCTACTGTACAAATATGAAGAATAAATATCTCAAATGCGGGCGCTGGTGATGTCATTTGGAGCCAGAGTCTGTGCAGTATTGATTCTGAAGTGCAGCTGCAGTATTAAGTTTCCACCATGTCTGTATAAAGAGAACTGGTTACAGCGTAGTCATTCCTGATCATGATCATGAAAGTTGCTTGTGGCACATAAAGCCAAAACCTTCAACTGCCTCGTATAAAATTACTAGGATGATTGGCACTGCTTCCGCACTGTATGGCCCATAGAGCAGGCGCACTAGAGACTCCTGAGATGGCTACTTCTGTTTAAGCACTTCGCTAACTTGAACGGGGATAAATTGATTCAATTGTATGACTCCTCTAGACTTTCCAAATGTTAACTGGCCAAACGAATCAAATCCTGATAGCGGAACAAAGTATTTTATGGGGGTTGTGACGTCTCCTTCGCACTTTAAGTCAATGGTGAGAAGTCCTTTTGGGAAACAGGGCATCAAGTGCACTCTTTGGCCACTACGAAAACTTTCTTCAAAGCCTAGCAAACTTCCTGGGTGCCTGCAAGGCTAGTCAAAGAAGGCTGAGGCACACTCTTCGACCCTGTGGGAGCTATGGGGTATGACACATGCGCAGTGTAACTGGAGCTGGAGGGTTACAAGAGATGATGCTAGATATACAGGGACGTGTCGGCTCAGGTGCTCTTTGGACGCATTTTTTTTAAACTCCTTGGGTGTGCTTGGCCTGACAGAACTTTTGGGTACACTCAATTGGATAGGGGCCAATTAGAGTGTTTTGCATAGTAAGCTTTTGTCTGCAGTCTTTTATTACGGACTTTGTCAGTAATTAAAGAATTCTAATTATTACCCATATCCTGATTTTTTGTGCAAAAATATTCCGACTCAAGGCCAAAGTGAAATCAATCAATTGTCCTCCATGTTCTATGATAGTTCACCAGCTATTGAGCCTTTCTGCAAGTGCCGGCCAGATTTCCCTGCCCATGTTTGATACCTCATTAGTGTGACTTACTATAACCCTAACCCTAAACCCTAACCCATTTCACTCAGAACCACAAATGTCAGCCTTGTGGTTGTGCCCGAGGAGAACTTCAGGGATCACCAAAGTGACTAGGGTCTGTCTTCTGGGGACCATGAATGTCTGTCATGGCAATCCATCCAATATTTACTGAGATATTTCAGACAGGACCAAAGTGGTGGACCAAACAAAACTCTTCTTCTGAGGACCTGGTTCCTGCCCATACATCTCTCTGACCCAATCACCAGTGGCGCAATTGATCACGAGCACAACGACTGACACAAAGCTATCAACTATGACGTCACACGCCCTTTTCATAGCATCAAATAAGCAATTAAAACCAAACTTATCACAAAAATGAACACAGAAACATAAGCGCGATGAGGACTACCTTAAATTATGAAAAAACATCTTTGAGATTAATTTAGTCGACATGTACTTGTTTCTTTTTAGTTTGGCCTATGTCCCATCTGCTAATATAGAGGGGACGACCTATAAAGCAGCCAGCCACCAGGAGGCAATTGAGATATTTTGGCCTCACTTTGGGGAGCTGTCACGTCATCCATCTTTACATACAGTCTATGATTCAACCATTTCAGGTTAAGGTTTTCTTTTTAAAACACTGCTACATTTCAGATTGCAGATCTGTATTGATCCCCATGAAAGAGCTTAATGACTGAAAGTGGGTTTTAGTTCATGTTTTAAATCAAAGGATAATTCTGGTTTACTTTAAATTGGGTCCTGTTTTTGTAGTTTTGGCCATTGTTTCACTTAACAAACCAAAGTATTCACTGTGTGCACATACAACTAAAATAAGTAAGGCAGGTCAATGTTGAACCAGGAAGTCGATCTGTAAACTGTAACTGATGCTACAACAGACATTTTAGGTCATAAATGTACTGTTCTAACCCTAACCCTTTGTCTTCTCATCCAAATAAGTTTGGCTAACCCAGGGTATTGGGGATGTCCTGGTAACCAAGTTTGGCAAACACACCATATAACATCCACACTCCCAGCTCACCAGTAACAGTACGACCTCCATCATTCCTGTCTACTAGATGATGGCCACGCTATAAACATGTGACCCAAGTTTTTATAAACCAGTTATCTGTTATTGAACTGAAATAATTACATCTCAGCTGATGACAGATGAGTGGAGCAGAGGATGGCAGGACACATGGAGGATGACAGGGACAAGAGGTGGAGGTAGGGACGGGAGCAGGTGGTGGAAGAAGGTTAAAGTGCATCATTATAATCTCCCAGTGAGTGTGTGGTGCGAGGCGGACGTGTGAGTTCGTGTGTTAAAATGTCATCAGAGCTCTGTTTTTGGGGGGCACTCAAAGTTCATGATGACATCACAGGCATCAGTTACGGTCCATGTCATCAATAATGGGAGTGTTGTAACTCTGGAAGAGAGGCTGCATGAAGAGGCCCAGCGTCCCAACCACACACACGAACACAAAGATCCACAGGAAGAGACGGTCAATCACCATGGCCACGTACTTCCAGTCTTCAATAATCTGCAGAGAGAGGGTGGATTTAAAATGTTGTCCTGAATTTAAATGAACTGATTTATTTTAATATGAATTTTTGTCACTGGTGATTGAATTTCCTAATGTCTTATCTAATCATTTATTGGCTGATGTTGCTGTGACTTTGTTGTGACATTATATAAAGTGGTACTAATACATAAATCACTGAATTAAAGCTGTTAATGGATTTGTTCCGAGGGCAGGCACCTTGTACCACAGCTGCTCTGGACTTTTTCCAGTGCTGTGGCTGATCTTCCTCATGCTCAATAGTGTAACAAATGTGTCATCAAATCACAAGCAATGCAAATGAATCACTACTGGTGTCTAACCTTTTGGTGTAAGTCCTTAATTTAGCTATTCATAGAAAGTGAAACACAGTCATTTCCAAAACACATATGATGAAGATTACATGAAGTAATCCATCACATAACATACAGTACAGGCCAAAAGTTTGGACACACCTTCTCATTCAATGCGTTTTCTTTATTTTCATGACTATTTACATTGTAGATTCTCACTGAAGGCATCAAAACTATGAATGAACACATGTGGAGTTATGTACTTAACAAAAAAAGGTGAAATAACTGAAAACATGTTTTATATTCTAGTTTCTTCAAAATAGCCACCCTTTGCTCTGATTACTGCTTTGCACACTCTTGGCATTCTCTCCATGAGCTTCAAGAGGTAGTCACCTGAAATGGTTTTCCAACAGTCTTGAAGGAGTTCCCAGAGGTGTTTAGCACTTGTTGGCCCCTTTGCCTTCACTCTGTGGTCCAGCTCACCCCAAACCATCTCGATTAGGTTCAGGTCCAGTGACTGTGGAGGCCAGGTCATCTGCCGCAGCACTCCATCACTCTCCTTCTTGGTCAAATAGCCCTTACACAGCCTGGAGGTGTGTTTGGGGTCATTGTCCTGTTGAAAAATAAATGATCGTCCAACTAAACGCAAACTGGATGGGATGGCATGTCGCTGCAGGATGCTGTGGTAGCCATGCTGGTTCAGTGTGCCTTCAATTTTGAATAAATCCCCAACAGTGTCACCAGCAAAACACCCCCACACCATCACACCTCCTCCTCCATGCTTCACAGTGGGAACCAGGCATGTGGAATCCATCCGTTCACCTTTTCTGCGTCTCACAAAGACACGGCGGTTGGAACCAAAGATCTCAAATTTGGACTCATCAGACCAAAGCACAGATTTCCACTGGTCTAATGTCCATTCCTTGTGTTTCTTGGCCCAAACAAATCTCTTCTGCTTGTTGCCTCTCCTTAGCAGTGGTTTCCTAGCAGCTATTTGACCATGAAGGCCTGATTGGCGCAGTCTCCTCTTAACAGTTGTTCTAGAGATGGGTCTGCTGCTAGAACTCTGTGTGGCATTCATCTGGTCTCTGATCTGAGCTGCTGTTAACTTGCAATTTCTGAGGCTGGTGACTCGGATGAACTTATCCTCAGAAGCAGAGGTGACTCTTGGTCTTCCTTTCCTGGGTCGGTCCTCATGTGTGCCAGTTTGGTTGTAGCGCTTGATGGTTTTTGCGACTCCACTTGGGGACACATTTAAAGTTTTTGCAATTTTCCGGACTGACTGACCTTCATTTCTTAAAGTAATGATGGCCACTCGTTTTTCTTTAGTTAGCTGATTGGTTCTTGCCATAATATGAATTTTAACAGTTGTCCAATAGGGCTGTCGGCTGTGTATTAACCTGACTTCTACACAACACAACTGATGGTCCCAACCCCATTGATAAAGCAAGAAATTCCACTAATTAACCCTGATAAGGCACACCTGTGAAGTGGAAAGCCATTTCAGGTGACTACCTCTTGAAGCTCATGGAGAGAATGCCAAGAGTGTGCAAAGCAGTAATCAGAGCAAAGGGTGGCTATTTTGAAGAAAGTAGAATATAAAACATGTTTTCAGTTATTTCACCTTTTTTTGTTAAGTACATAACTCCACATGTGTTCATTCATAGTTTTGATGCCTTCAGTGAGAATCTACAATGTAAATAGTCATGAAAATAAAGAAAACGCATTGAATGAGAAGGTGTGTCCAAACTTTTGGCCTGTACTGTAGGTGGAACAGCCTGGGTCATCAACATTTGCAGTCCCAAAAGACTGTTCGGATTGTGTCCAGATCTATAATAGATAAGAATGTACAGCTGTTACAGAATAATCTCTCTGTTACTATGAATCAGCGAAACAAATTATCATGTACCTTGTACATAAAGACCGGAAGGCTAAATGCTAATGTCAACATGCTAACATGCTGATGCTAATTTTTACCACGTTGATCATCTTACACCCTGATCCCACAGAAAGCGTTTAGGCAGCTTGAGGCAGCTTATTGTAATTGCTTTTAATGAAAATGAAGCTTTTTGCTTGCGTCTTGTGCTTTGCCACATGCCTTGCATTTCTGCTCTCTAGGCACCTGGTGTTTTGGGCGTAGCACTCTGAACTCCTCAGGTTGAAAAAAGTTTAAGTCAGAGCAGAAAAGCGCCCAACATCATGATCTTTTTCCCATCTTTGTCCGATCGAAAGATTTGAGAGGCGGGCCTGTGGTGGTCACGACAACAAGTTTACAGCTGGTTAACAATGGAGGAGAAACTGGTGGTAGCAGTTGTTGGATACCCAGAGCTATATGACCCGACGATAGACAGCAGGTTGTCAAACTGCCCCCGAGTCATCCTAAAATATGCCTGGAAACAGCCATCATCGAGGTGAAGCTCCTGGACCAACTGGTGGTACTCCCCCTGATCCATTGTCTTGTCTTGTCTATGGTTGTCCAGACATTTCACTCAGAACCACAACTGTCAACCTTATGGTGGCACCAGCGGAGTTCAGGGATAACCAAAGTGAGAAGGGTTTACCCTCTGGGCACCATGAATGTCTGTACAAGATGTCATGGCAATCCATCCAATATTTACTAAGATATTTCAGTCAGGACCAAAGTGGTGAACCACAAAAACACTACTCTGTCTTAACAACAAAAAACAAGCAGACAAAGGAAAAGTCTTTGAAGCATGCTGCACACATTTAGACTTTTGACGTAAAGATGTAGATACACCTACCCCTTCATCATCATCCTCGCTCTTCATCTTCTCTGCGATGTAACGCACTCCATCCACTGCATCCTCCACGGCAATGTTGCACTTGAGCGTCATCCTCTTCCTGAACTCTGTGTTCTCTGACAAGTCGCTGATCTTCCAGCCGTAGCGTTTGGCCGACTCCTCATTCACAAAGAAGGACGAGGAGGAATCTGCCATGCCTGCAGGACTTCCAGTCCCTCCATCAGCTCCATGCAGCTTGTGGTCAGAGTACGATCGCTGCTGGTGTTTTTTCCGAAACTTCTCGCGGATGTTGGAGCTACCGGGTCTCCTCATGAAGAGATAAGAGGGAAGTCGGTACAGGAAGACACGCTTGACCCAAGGAGGCATGGTGTGCGTACTGGGGGACCGATGGTGCACGTTGAGCACGCAAACGCTGGTGACAATGGAGAAGGTGACCAGCACCATTGTAAACATCAGGTACTTTCCAATCAGAGGCACTGCTAAAGACGTTGGTGGCACAATCTTTGAGATAAGGAGTAAAAACACAGTCAGGGCCAAGAGGACAGAGATACAGAGAGTCATCTTCTCGCCACAGTCTGACGGGAGGTAGAACACCAGAATGGCCAGCGACGTGATCAGGATGCAGGGAATGATCAGGTTGATGGTGTAAAACAGAGGTTTTCTCTTGATAATAAAGTCATAGGTGATATCCAGGTATCTGATGTCATTAGGGTCTTCATTCTTACGACCAGGCAGTGAGACAATATCCCACTCCCCACTGGGTTTGAAGTCGTCACGTGAGGCGTAATCACTGAGGAGGATGAGATCGATCTCAGTGTGGTCGTAGGTCCAGGAGCGAAACTTAAGGGTGCAGTTCTGCTGGTCAAAGGGGAAATCTCGGACTTCAATTTTGCAAGCTGACTTGTAGATAGCTGGTGGGAGCCAGGCCACCTCACCATTGTTGGAGACCACAGCATTGGAGTAGAAGGAAACTTCATAGGTCCCATCAGCACTGAGAAAAGGAAGGGAGGTAAGAAAGCAAAAAATTAACTCAAAGAGAAACTGACAACTGGAAGGATCATGGCTAATCATATTCAAAGACTATCTCTCACTCTTCCAAACACACAGTTCTATTATCATCACACATAATTACAAATACATAAACTTGTAGAAGCAGGGTGAGGAAGTCAGAGGAGAACTGTGGGCTCCTTTGCATTAAAGGAGCCAGGACACCTCCCTGTAAAGGTATTCAAGGCATATCTAACTGAAAGGGACTTCCACAACACTGAAGGGATCATATATCCCATTTGGCTTGGGAGCACCTTGGGTTTCAAATGGATAGTTGGAGCCTGCTACCACCACACCAGCCATTTCTCTGCAAAACCAGTACTAGCACTTTATATTTTAAGTATATTTTGCAGATATTACTTCTTTAGTTTAAGTTAAGTGGGATGAAGACAGGATTTTCCCTTTTAAGATAGTTGTATTGGTAATTTTATGTTCAGACTGAACACTTCATCCAACACTAAGTGAAATGAATCCACCCCCTTCACAAACACATACATGAATATTAAATTGTGGTTAAATCAGCAATACCAAAAGGTAAGCTTACAAAGAGGAGGGTGGGACAGTGAAGAAAGCCTGCAGCCAAGTCAATGATGGTTAAGCATGAACGAAGGAGCTGATCAGCTAATGCAAAAGTAACTTTAGTGTGTTGCCTGAATGCGCCATCACGCTGTTGAGGGAACTGAGGGAACTCCCTAAAAATGTTGTATTTCACCCAGATGAGCCTGGTTTTGCAGGGGCGTGACATTGCATGCTTCACTGAGCTCCATGACTGTCTCAGCCCATGCTCTGAGTGCATGTTCATACTATATAATACCTACGCGCACCTTTATAAAATACAGAACAACAATCCTGAATTATCTTAGTTTAAGTAGATTTTTGTTGTTGGAAATAATTCAGTCCATCTATATATAAACATATTTAAGCATTGTTTAGTTGTACATATTTTCCGGTATAATGTTATGATGGTAAACTTGAGAATTTATCAGCAGTCAGGTTAAAATCATGTCTTCAGGGACAGCTATATCATAGTTGCCAGCAAATGTATCTAAGTGTGTCTTTGCAAATCGATAATCATAAAAATAAATAAGTAAATAAATAACTCTGTTTGAAGTTGCAGTTAGGCGGAAGATCTCCTGTAAGTTTAATCTTGGGGTCAAGGCAAAGATTAGGTTAATAAACAACTTTTTGGTCACAGTTTTGCAAGCTTAATCAAAACAGTGACGAGACGACCTAATGTGCACGGACGAGAACATACATCAGGCACACACACTGCGTGATGCAGGATGTCAGGCGTGGGCAAAATACTAAGCTTTTAGGGAGTCTTGTTAACTGAGAGGTTCTTCCACACCTTGAACCTTAATGAGAACCACTCTACTGTGTGTCACTTGTTGAAATCTATAATCATTTGTCAAACTCATTACAATCTTGAGCCAGCTCACTGTACTAGTGCAACTGACTTGGGTGAACAACAGACTCAGTGTTCAACGCAAAAAGTTTACTTGAGTAAAACGTTTCTGTGCTGACTGATGGCGTGTCGAGAAAATTATTTCATGACTGTGCTTGCATCTCTGCAGAGGTGACACATGCAACAGTTATGTGTACTGAAAGTCAAAGGATGTGTGATGATCCTCTCAGGGGAGGAGCTGAACCTGGGACACATCCCAGCAACATGGCAACAACTGCCCCCTCACCTCAAATCTGCTGAGACTGACTTTTTTTCCAAGCCTGAAGGTGATGCATTATAGAAAAGTGGCCTATCAATTATAAAGTAGGTCAGGAATCCAACCATCACACTCGGTCTCTAATGCTTTGGGCCCTGCTGTGAATATGCAGACTAATTAAAAATGCAGAGGCCCCACCTGCTTACTGCAACCTCTGGTCCCCTACATTTGGCCAGAGAACTGACATTGTAAAGTAGTGCTGATCATCTCCTATCATTTTGCCTCTTGAGCTATTATGCTCTTTATGTGGTCTTTAGCTGACCAGCAAACTGCGTTTATAAAAGTTTAATGCCTGTATAAACTGTGAGGTAACACTGCTGACCAAAACACAAAAGCTGAATGTCCACACAGCTGTGAGCCCGTCGAACTGTCTCAGTCTCAGGTTCAGTTTTTACTTTGGATACAGTTGTTGAGAACACTATTTAGTCATTCATGTTATGCAGCAACATTTCTGTCCCCATACTTGCTTGTATTTTCTTTAAAATGTGTCAAATATTTATAACAAATGGCTTGAATTATAGATTAAGGTCTTCTGTATCACAAAACTCAGAATAATGCACAGTAAAATACTTTTATTTAAATTTACTGAGCTTTCTTTGGTACTTCTACAATAACTAAGGGCCATTGTAAAATATTCTTTGTTACTTTAAGCCCAGTCTGATTATATACTGTCTCTATATTAGGAAAAACTATGTTATACTCCTATAAAAATAGGAGTATAACATAGTTTTTATTCAACCTATTCAACCATTTACTATTGCTAATATTTACGATTTAACTTTTAGATACTACTATTTTTTTTAACCATTTTCATTCATCATTAACTGTGACTCACTGCAGTCATTTGTCACCCTGTAAGTTGGTAGTTTTCTTGTCCCACTAAAAATAAAAATAAAAATTACATTAAACCAAAATTCCATTGAGACAATTTTCAGAAAGTGGCATAAGTTTTTTGGAGGTAACTCAAAGGAGTAAAATAGGGTGACTAGGATAAACTTTATTTTGTGTCTTTTTGTCCCCTTTGTTTTATGATGTTAATCTGTTTGTCACACTCTCAAAGCTAAACCCTTTTAGACTAAATTAGAAAAAAAGATGGTTCAATCAAAAAAAATTTAAAAACATATTTGATATAAGTAAAAAGCTCTATTTATGTGTTAAAGGTTAGCTCACTAAATCTGGATCGCTCAGAGCAAAGGCGAACTGTTCCACCCTGTAGGTCTGTAGACCAGTATAAACCAGTCCACCCATAAGGATTATTATTTGAGTGCCTGAGATTGGCCACTATGTTTTCCTGACTGTTTGACATGTCAAAAATCATCCTTTTTTTTCTTTCCAAAAGTTTTGAGGTGAAATGTTGCCGCATAACAGGAATGACCCATATGTTCTGAAGCTTTAGGTCATATAGCATGGTCTTCATCAGCAAATGGAGCTTTCCATGGATGTTTCCCTTTTTCGAAACACTTTAAGGGTTTCCCGCTGATGTTTGCCAAAACAGAATTAGGTTCAAAGATCACTCTTAAAGAATGCTCTTTCTCAGAATAACATCACTAAGATTCACAGTGTGTTCAAACTAGATAAACAAGATAAACAAGTCATTTTTAATTATACGAACTAACTTGACAATCAACACGGACACCTTAATTGAAGGGAATAGCCTGTCAGCTAGTTAGCAGCCTGTTAGCTAAGTTAGCACACTGTCATACTGTCTCTCCAAAATCCACCGCAAAAGTTTAAAACATTTAACATACTCGAGGCAAATTCTGAACTGAAATATGAGTTTCTAAGGCACATTGGATATCGTAGAGATTCCCATAGGAATGAATAGACTTCCGGTTGCCTCGTCTCCATACACATACCTAAGTAGGAACAAGGCGTGAATCTGGGGTTAACTCCTACTTTAACTTTCACTGTTGGATGTGTACAAACAGTAACTGATAGTCCTGCATGATATACCTTTAAACTTCAAGCCTAATTTTCTTTGTTTAGTGCTGTTTATAAAAATGTGATGTTTTGATGCTTGCTGTTATAAGATCTTTTTATGATTTATGTATTTATTATGTCTACCAAGGGGAAAATAAAAAGCCAAAACTGACAACTTAGAGCCACAGCGATTAATGAATAGTCAACAACATGGTCAAAGTCTCTCCAGTTACTGTAAACGGGTCACTTTAAGCCAAGTGAATCCAACTAGGCTATAAAGTTAAAAAGAAAGTAAGTTCATATCCACCAGTTGACATATGATACATATATCACCCCACTAAACATAATCAATGCAAAACAAAAACTGTTGTGATCCATTGTGATTTAAGACAACACAGCAAGGACTTCTATATTAACTTAATGGTAGATGTAAACTGTTGATGTCATACAAGAAACTAGCAGATGGAGAAAGACCCAGGTGTTGACCTATATGGGTGACAGATGAGGTGAGGCCCCCAAAAGCCTTCGTGTCTGTCAGCTAACACTCCAGTGGACTGAGGCTAATTTCTCCTTGAATTAACTTATTACAGCATCAACATTCTCATGTATTGATTTTCCCTTGCAGCTATTTCATACAGCTGCACTGATTTCTGGACGTGCACATAAAGTGAAGCGTTGTCACATCAGTGTTTTGTGCATTCCTGCTCAATGTGCGGAAATACACAGTAATGTGCAGCCATGTTCTTCTGTTGTCGAGAGCAGTTTAATGTGCAGTAAGGTCATTATAGAGCACTGATTTCTCTTGACACTTTGACTGTAAAGGCTATGATTTGATGTTATTGATCCGATGTACATATCATAATTAATGTTTTGAAATGCATCTGAACCGTGTCGGAAATTCTGTCTGGTTTCTGCAAAGTTGTCGATAAATAGTACATGCTTTTTCTCAATTGTAAGAGTGTAAGGTGTGACCGAATGCACTGTTATCTTACCTGCAGATTTTATAACCTCAGTATGTCCCTGTCTGTCTTCTCTGTAAAAACTACAATCCCTCATCACTTAAAAGACCACTCATTATCATGGGACTGTCTGCAGACAGTCTAGACAGTCTTAATACAACGTTTTGGTTGTATTCATTATCCTAAAAGTTAAAACCAAAAAAAAAAAAAAAAGTGGGATGAAAAAGAAGAGATAAGAGGATAGAAGGAATAAGAGGATGTGAGAAAACATTTTAGGAAAAATGAGGCTTTTAAATAAAGTTTGCTCTTTGTTTTTGTTCTCCTTTTAATCACTTAGCTTTGTACACACACACACACACACACACACACACTCATTCTCTGTTCCACAGCTCAGACGTACTTGTTGTAGAGGACGATGTCCGGCAGCCAGATGTGTTGTGACGGCAGCCGGATTTTCTTGATTCCTTCGTACTCTTCAGGGTTCCACATTAATCTGTAGTCATTCCAAACCTGGTGAAGAAGCACACACACATTTGCACACACAAGGAAATAGATTAATTCACGTACATGGACACACACCCACAAACACTGAGATGTATCAAATCACACACACACACACACAAACACACACACACACACGGTTACGAAACAAAATATGAGCTACCACAAACATGCATAAACATACCAGATCATGCATACCAATACACAGACTAATTCAGTCAGCTCCCATCTGGCAAAATAAATAACATTTTAAAGGGACAGTTCACCCCAAAATCAAATATGTATATTTTCTTCTTACATGTAGTGCTATTTATTAATCTCGATCGTTTTGATGTGACTTGCCATGTGTTCAGCCGTAGAAATGTCTGCCTCCTCTTGACTATAAGGGAACTAGATGGCACTCAGTTTTTCACCAAAAAAAACAAAAAACAAAAAACATTTCCAAAAATTCAACAGCAGTTTCTCGGACCAAAACACCCACCAACTGTATCACTCCACAGAAGGAAGCGTGCATCTACTCAGGGACAAGAGGAGCCGATAGGATTCAATTCTAGTCAATGTGTGTGTTTCCACCGGCTGCGGCTGTGATGCGTTCTGGCTCCGTCACAGCTCCAGCACTCCAGAGCCCTCCGCAACATATGCAGGACTTCTATTTTTACCGGACGCCGGAGCACAACGCAGCAATTCAGCACAGAGCAGATCGTGCGGGGCAGGAAGTCGTGCACAGAAACAAAATAAAACATCCGATTAATTTTCAAAACAAAATACACAGTGTTCACGCGGATCATATTTCCCTGCGCTACACCTTGAAAACTACATAATGGGCAGAGGCAGGCCTGAAGTCAACAGGTCAGAGGTTTTTAGACGTCATTTCACCCCGTTAACACCATGGACGAGGAGATATTAATCACAGCAGTGCACCGAGATGTCTTCCGGCAGAGCTGCACCGCTCAGCACAGCAAACGCAGCCGGTGGGTATTGACAGACGGCGGAACACGCAGCAAATAACCAGCGCTGTGGTTCTGCAATGGACACGCATCCAGTGGAAATCCGGCGTAAGGCTGAAACGAAAGCTTCAATGCTTTGAAGTAGGGCTGTCAAGCGATTAAAAAAATTAATCACATGCTCTGTGAGTGTGGCTTGACAAGGCTAGCATCAGAGGCTGTGCTAGCTCGGACCTCTGGGTTCACTGGTTGAAATTAATGCAATATTTTGACAGCCCTACTTTAAAGCTTCAACCGTTGCTGTGGCAACTGATGCCCACATCGGTGCTTAAAAGCTTTGATTTTTGTTTGTTTTTTTCACCACTAACATGGTGAACGAAACTGAGTGTCAGACGCAAATGAGGCCATTGCTCTTGTAAACATTGCTTGCAGTAGTCAATCTCCTCTCTCGCTCTATCTCACTCTCTGTCACACAAGCACGCAGCAGTGGTGGTGTAGTTTGGTAGGAAGAAAAAGCTCCTACGTGAAACTGCTCACAACAAGGTCTGTGGATTATCTTGAGTAACAAAGTTGTGACTCCTAGAAAGAGACATTGCTGTTGAGTCTTTTGAGCACCACAAGCCGAGTGCCATCTAGTTCCATTATATTTTTGAGAGAAGGCAGACATCTCAAAAGCAGGCATCATCAGAGAACAAGAGGACGAGTGGGGACACAAACCTGACTGAGCCAACAGTTGGTGGTCATGATCTGCTCCCTCTCATTCTGAAACACAGACAGGAAGAGAGTTTGTGGATGGCTGAACTTATCCTAGCAGAATAATCTCCACCATATGCACTGCTGAATTATCTTAAATTAGCAGGATATGCCTCCATGATAACATTTTGGATTGGAGTGTGTGTTTCCTCACCACGTTGATCAGCTGGGCCAAAGACACCTGGATGTAAATGGTGACCTGCTGGCTGTTGTTGACAGCTGGTCGGATCAGCTTGTTGTAGCGCTCCGGTGACAACAGGTGACTCACCAGCCGCTCCTCCACCTCCGCACACAAGGCAGCTAAACACACACACATGGAAACAGATTTAGAAAGCAATTAGGTACAATGAACCAGGACCTGTATTATGTACTGGCTCATTGGTCAGACAGAGAAATGACCAACTGTGTAGCATGAGGGCCAGTCTGCAGGTTGGAATGAAAACAAGCACACTGTCTGTTCTCCATTGTTTGACCATGCTTAGTCCAACACCTGGTGCCACAGTCATGTTATATAGTGTGTTACAAACAGCTTAAAAAACATTCAAGCCAGCCTCCTCTTGTTGTAATTCTCAGTAAAAGGTAATGGGAATATCTAAAAGCTATGATATCTCCTACATGGTGAAAAGAACTACAGAAGTATCAGCATTAATACAATCCATTGTCAACAGTGGTTATTTTTAGCTAACTAAAAAAGACATTCTTTGCAGCCTGGTTTCACTTGTTATATTCCAAGCCTCATTTCTATTTATCTGGCATGACTAAGGGTAGTAACTGTGTTAAAGCTACGGTAGAGTCTGCGATTCTGGAGAATGATCGTTAAATTCAACACTTCAACAAATGCAGCCCTCTCATCAGTGCTCCATCAGAAGCTCCGTTAACATCTCTAATGTCAATGTCATTGTTTTATTACTATCATGGTGAAGCTCTATTCATTCTGGGAGAGGACGTGGAAGGGGAAGTAGCCTGCATAGTTTTGTGCAGCCATTTTCTTTGGTTCCTTTTTATAGGGACAAGGCTGTATAAACACTGGATTTTTGTTTTTATTTGTTTTGTTTTCAGTGTACACCCTGAATGGATAGTGAGCAGACCGTGAAGAGATATTCACTGAATTTGACAAAGAGTGTATTGGATTAGAATTGCTGACTGCACATTTAACCCTCGTGGATGAATGAACGCTGAAAAGATCAAATAGCAAAAAAAAAAGTTTTCTGTTCTGCTTAAATGGCATGAATGTAGCGTGTATTTTAAAAGCTAGTGTTTGGATTTGCAGAGGATGAATCCTCCACGGGTGAATACTTTCACACCCAGCACAGTGACTAATTCCAGTCAACATGATCATCATGAGCATCCTAAATATTAGCGCACAACATGCCAAATATACACATGCATTACCATCTTGACTGTAGTAAATGCAACACGCTATCATCAGCATGCTCACATGGCAAATCTTTTACTACTACTGCAGAGACACTGATCCCTTCCCCCAAAAGGGTCCCGCTGCAGAGCTCTAGACTGAAGCCCACCTCACCTCATGCTGCTGGGACCTATCTTCATTGCTAGGACCCACAATGGAAAATCATGTGTGTTATCTTCCTTATTATAAGCTATTTTGCTGCGTAACATTACATTACCTAACTTTATAATTCATATCAGACTGTCAGCTGTTAACCCTGGTGGTATTGGTGGAGGGCATGCAGCTTATTCAAACTAATAAATGCCTGCTACTGTACCCTGATGATTGCCTCATTTCTTCACACAGAATTTCAGACTTCCTTCTCCAAGTTCAGGACCTGAAAGGTTCTGACGGAGGAGGTGGGCCAGAGCCTGAAGCATTGCAGCTACACCCTTCCCCCTTCCTTTTCTGGTTCTGCTACTGCCTGTAGCATGTTTTCTCATTAAGCGCTTCTTTCATCATTGTTTTTATAAATCTGGAAAATACCTGTTGTGTTTTCTGTCTGTATTATTAATTAAATGTGTATCTATAGCTGTGGTTGATATTAAAACCTGAAATTCAATATTTTCACTGAAGTAAAAGACTAATTATTTTGTTAGCAGCATATCCCACACACTGTCTAAGCATCATGGAAGCTATTCCAATTTACTCTATTTCATAGAGCTAAAATATCCTCTAGTTGTTATGTAATCTCATCCTGTCATCTTGCCAAAAATGTCAAACTGCAGCGCTGCACAACTGCCTTAAATGACTCCACAAATTCATCCTCACTGTAGAGTGACTGTTGAGATGAGGCACTCATATCAGGACGTGTTGTGGGCGCCTCACACTGAGTAATGTGTGTGTGTTACACGATCAGGTGCGGTGACTTGACACCTGGGGCCACATGTAGAGGATGATCTCAGTTTGATCCTACAGATGTGCGTAGGTAGAAGTCAGAGTGACTGTTTAGAAACCTTGAGTTTGATGCAACCTTGAATTCAACTTTGCAACCTGATGGGATGACTCATATCTGACAGAGGTGTGATGTTGAATGAACAGGATGAAGTGGCTCTGATGTTGTACGATAACATAGTGGGCGCCTTATGAATGGATGAGGTTCTGTTGATCATGAAGACTTCAAACGTGTTTCAAGCATTTCAAGTCCTTGAAGAAATGAACTGAATAAAACCTGACTTTATTCACAAATATTTTCTCATCTGAGTCAGGCGGTATCATGGTTGGAATATCACATGTATTTAGAAATCCAGGCGGCATGATTTCGTCCGAAAAGTCACCTGTGTTTCAGCCAAAAAGTTGCACTTGAACACATTGCAAAGGCTACAGCAAATGGCCAACCAGCACATGCGTTCTGTGTCTGCGTGAGAGGAAGTAAGTCTCGACAGAGGCATGCAGCAGTAGTCTGTATTTATCATTCAAAAAAGGGAAATCAGAAGACTGGCAGGACTGATTCAAGGCACTAGTTAGCCAGTTAGCACATTAAGACACAACCTGATGTTGAAAGAACAAAGGATATATATCATGTGCCAGCAAACATTAACACTATTATGAAATGTTTCTGCAAAAAAGCTCAATGGCTAAAAAAAATAATCTCACCTAATATAACAAGTTTGTTTTGATCTCACACCCTCTTGATTTTAGCCGTTTGTTTACTTTCCTCACTTCTGTTTCTCTTCTTGTGCACTGAGTTGAATTGCCAGGGTGATTTCCTTCACCAATGGGCTCTGCCATCTCCGACGCCAATTGACCTTTCACTAAGCCCCGCCCCTTTGTGATGGTCCAACAAGCTGTCACAGTAAGCATGGAGCCCACACTGTAACTAACTGCACTCCCTGAAGAAATATTATCATAGTTTTGTAAAAATGAAAGAGTGATTCCAGAGAGAAGCAGACAGAGGGGTCTACAGTCTGTGTTAGAAGGATATATCCAGGATGTCAAACTGACTCAGCAGCAACAACAGGTTCAAAAGACAAAGATAGTTAGAAGCTAAAGCCAAACTATAGGCAACAGATCACAGTGTAAAAGTGAACCACCACATCACTGCTGATCACCACACAAGACAATGAATATAAAGGGAAACTTTACTGATATTGAACCAGCTGTGTGGCATCGCAGTGTGTGCAGATGAACAATGTTTCACATCGCCCCCCATGCTGCTGCCAGCACCTGGACCTCTGCCTCAGATGGGCAGGGATCCCTGGGGGAGGTCAAAAAACAGTCATCTGCTCACAATGCGTTGACACACAGCTGGTTCAATATCAGCAAAGTTTCCCAGCTTCCCTTCACTGGTTCCTGTACAGTAGTAGTTCTTTTTTCACTGTTATAATCACTAGCTAGCTAACCCTACACTTTACAGGGTTTGATTTTGGTTTTGAAACAGGGAAGAAACGTATATCTTTTTCCAACCTCTCCAGGTAACGAGTATCATTAATACACAACGTGCCCCAGGCACAACATTTAGCTCCAAATCCACAAAACCAGCCTGAAAATGAAGGAAATCTGAAACGATTGTATTAGAGTCAATGGAGCACAGCTGTGTTGCTGTCAGACCCTGGTCTGATGCTACGTTATGATTGGCCAGTCTGTGTCCGGGGGCAGGACTTAGCAAAGGGTCAATTCAACAAGCTGAATCGGAGAGAAAACAAAAGAAGACCAGGACCAACTAGTGCCATTGAAGCAGGACTCTTGCCAATACTGGGGCGGCAGACACATTAACCGACTGCCCAACACTGACCGCTGGCTAACTGTCGGCAATGTGTGTGAGGGTCATTAGTTCGGTGAAAGAAAAGAACTTAATTTCAGAAGGTTTATGGCTGTATAACTGTGTTTAATAAGAAAAATAGCTGTGCTTTTTTACAGAAATATCGCCATATACTGAAGGCCTAGTGAAATATCATGGTATAAAGGTATGAAAAAATGGATACCTCTCAAGCCTAAGTCCTATGTCAGCTCCCTAATCATTGCCGACTCTTGAGTATCAGATTAGCTGATCTGAATCATAATGAGAAAACCTACAATAACAGAGGCACACACAAACGCCCAGAGCAGCAGTTGTTGAAGCGATGTTTAAATCTCGTGCTGTGAGCTCTCACCAATTAGGTCCTCAGATGTAATGAGTGTGTAATGAGAGTAATGTGAGTACGTGTGTGTGTGTGTGTGTGTGTGTGTGTGTGTGTGAGATCACATACATGATTTAATAGTGTATTTAGTGACAGTCCAACACGCATAAATATACATAGCAGACTCATACATACTTCCCTTCCAGACATTTCAATGAATATATAGCATGTTTACAGTGCATGCAATCTGCTGTTTATATGACGTTAATGAGTCATATTTGAACAGACACACATGCACAAACACACACACACTCACAGAGCCACCGCAGGGCTGATCTCCCCCCATTTAATCAACAAAGAGCAATGTCTGACTGGGTCACAGAGCTTTAGTGATAGTGGGTGGCTGGAAACACGGATGTTGCCAGGCTTTTATACATTTTAAACTTGAAAAAAATCCACAGTCCCTTGTTTTGGTTTGTTTATTTAAAAAAATAATTTTAATTTTCCATTAAAACTGACTGTGATGCTGATTTCCACCTTTTTACATCTCCATATCTGCATCTCCGCTGTCCATCGGTTGAAAATATAAACATAACCTGGTTTTCTCCCGTGCTCCCATACAAGCAAATACGCACTCACTGTCACACCCGCTCTCAGTTAAAAGCCTTTTCTCTTGTGTTTTGTCTTGTACCTGTTCCTTCCTGTTTTCTTTTATTTGTTTTCATGCCCCTTGTTTTCTAGAAGGCTTTTGTGACCGCCTTGTTTGTGCGTCATAAATATATTTCGCG